CCAAGACATCCTCTTTCGCAAGCGCTGCAATACTGCTACCCCTCCTCCTTTTCTGATTACTTTGTACCCAGGTATATATAACATTCAGTCTTGCTCTTCCTTGAGCCCGGTCTCTTATCGGCACAACATCTTGTTTACCATCCTCTGGACATTCACATGCATGTGGTGCAACCCTCACTTAGATGTAACTTTTTTTATTACTCTGACTTTACCTAATAATCTGCTATTGTGTACATCAGTGCCAGTTGCTTTTCTAAGAATTTTGTGAACACTGGCTTTCTCCTCTACTATTCTCCCACATCTCTGCCAAGTCAATTTAAAGCCCTTCCAAAGCCCTAGAAAAACACGGAGAAGAACTCGGTCCCAGCTTTGAGCAGGTGCAACTCATCTGGCTTGCACAGGTGCAAATTTCCCCAAAGCCCATCCAAGTCCTTGAAATCTAAAGTTCTTCCTCCTGCACCATCTTTCCAGCCACGCATTCAGCTGCCTATCCTTCTATTTGGAGCGGTCGGTTAATTCAGCGAGCTAACTGGTTTTCCTGCAAATGTTTAGTCTCCCCTCAGAATGAGGATAGCACACAAATCAACAGCCACACTTCGCCAGTTACTCTCAAAGACGAAAGGCCCCATACCCACAATGAGCAGGACAAATATGATATATAAAATACCATGCAGCAACTGCGAGAAACACTACATAGGTCAGATGGGCAGGAAACATACCACCAGGATACATGAACACCAACTCGCAGCAAAAACAGCACGCCCAATTCTACCTCCTTTCATTCACTTTGACAGAGAAGGACATCAATTCGACTGGGACAAAGTTACAGTACTGGGTCAAGCAAGACAAGGACAAGCACGAGAATTCCTGGAGGCCTAGCTTTCAACCACTGATGCAATTAACAAACATGTTGAAATACATCCCATCTACATACCAATACGGTATAAAACCATAAACAAGACTGTCCACCATGACAAACTGGACCATATAAATTCAAAGCAGGATAGAACAATAACGCTTCAACTGAGGCTACATAGCACTGACGATGTCACCAAGAAGGGAGATGAAATGTTTGTTTGAAAACCTGTCAGCTCGTTGAACCAACCAACAATTCCAACCGCAACCCGAGCCACAGATCTTTGTTAAAACATTATCCTTCTATTTCTGTACTCACATGCATGTGGCATTGGGGGTAATCTAGAGATTATTACATTTGAGGTCCTGCTTCCTAACTTTATACCAAGCTTCCTAAATTCCAACGGCACGACCTCATCCCCCTTCCTACACAAGTCACTGGTACCAACCTGGACCAGGACATTTGGTTTTTCTACTTAAACTTGCTTCCCTTACACTAACATTACTCTATTTTCCTTACTGTACTTTAAGTAAATTACTTTATTATAATCAGCCCTGACTTTTACTTATTCCTGTTGTTTCTCAGTTAATCCCTTGTTCCAAAAATACACTTTTCAAAAAAAAAATCACAAACCAATCAACTCATCACTTCCTTGTGACACCATTTGACCTTTTTTTCTCTCTCCCAATCAGCAGTGGTTTGAAACTGTGACTGTTAAAGCTATGCCTCCCCTCTTGCTGCTGGGTCCTTGATCCTGAGCCTCAATACATTCTCTCACCGCTGTGTTGAAACAGAAATGCTGGGGTCTCCATCCTGGGCCTAAACATATTCTCTAACTTATGGCAAAGTTCCTCCAATGATTGGCATGAAGTAGTGAGATATCTTCAGAGATTTATTTGGATCTTTTGAGTTGATTCATACTCTCAACTTGTTTTAATGCTATCATGCTACCAACTCACTTTCTAGGAGTTGTCACCTTCCTGGTCTATCTTTTTCATCCTTTCAATCTTGACTTTCAGGCTGACCTTGAGAACAGCTAGAACTTGCCTCAGTGGATGCTGTCTTGGTCTTAGCTACATATCTATATACAAATGATACAATAATTGGTGAGGTGGTAAATAGTGAGGAGCATGGCCTTAGACTAAAGAGGATATAAACGGGCTGGTCAGATACGCTGATCAGTGACAAATGGAATTCAATTCACTTGGGCAGGACAACAAGGCAGGTTGAAAAATAAGTACCCTGGCATGTACCAAGGATCAGAGGGACCTTGGTGTGCACATCTACAGATTGTTCAGGGTATCAGGATAGGTTGATAAAATGGTTAAGGAGGCATATGCTATACTTGCCTTTATTCATAGATCATAGAAGATCACAGAACCCCTACACTGTGGAAACAGGCCCTTCGGCTCAACAAGTCCACACCGAACCTCAGAGCATCCTACCTAGACCCCATACCCCTATAACCCACCTAATCTACACATCCTTGAACACTATGAGCAATTTAGCATGGCCAATCCACCTAGCCCGCACATCTTTGGACTGTGGGAGGAAACCGGAGGACCTGGAGGAAACCCACACTCACGGGGAGAAGGTGCAAACTCCACATAGACGGTCGCCAGACGTTGGAATCGAACCCGGGTCCCTGGTGCTATGAGGCAGCAGTGCTAACCACTGAGCCACCGTGCCGCCCCAACAGCGCAGGCACCGCTGGCATTTGAAACCAGGATCTCCTGTTTACTAGACAGGCGCATTAACCAACTAAGCCACTGTGCCAGTCGAGGCATTGAGTTTAAGAGCAAGGACGTTATGCTGGAACTATATAAAATGTTGACTGGGCCACAATTAAAGTACTGTGTACAGTTCTGGAATCCACATTATTGGAGGGATGTGATAGCACTGGAGAGAATGCAGAGTACCATGACCTTGGCTGGAGAGTTGTTTATCAAAAGGTTGGACAGACTAGGGTTGTTAACTTTTGAGAAGATGAGAGTGAAATGGGGCATAATTGATATGTATAAAATTATGAGGGGCTTAGATAGGACAGACAGATAGAAACTTTTTCACCCAGGGGTAGTGAGAATCTGGAACTCACTGCTTGTAAGGGGTTGTAAAGGCTATCATAACGTTTAAGAAGCATTTAGACACACACTTGTAATGCCAAGGCATAGAAGGCTATGAAACAAGTACTGGAAATTGGGATTGTAACAAATGAGTTGTTCTTTTTGCACAGCATGGACACAGTGGGCCAAAGGGCCACTTTCTGCGCTGTAAATCTATGATTCTATCAACTTGGAGGTGAATTTCACCAGGAAGACATATTAAACCAGTAAACACACTGTTGTATTTCTCCGAGACGTTCCGCAGTCAACGGTTTAGTGTGCTGCGACATACTACAAATTTATTTTGGCATATTAAGGATTTTTAGTCCAAATTTCAGACTTGCTCTTGCTGAGACGAATGGCTGTTGCTTGCCATCTATGATCTGGAACTGCATATTTTCACTTGTCCGTGCACTGGACTCGGAGTAATCTGTTTCCTCAGCATCAATATGGTGCCATCAGATAGCCTCAAACTTTCATCTGAGACTTCATTTTTGGATCACCACATTTAGCCACTCCACACAGGTCTTAAAGTTATGACATTGTATGACACAACAGTGTCCACCTTATATTTTATGTTAACTTGGTGTTCTCCTTCTGACAAACCATTTGTCATCTATCAACCTGACTGAGCTGACCTGTTGCATGGTGTAGGGTGATTTGTCACAAGCTTCAGCTGATATCTCTTTGGAATCCATCTGCAACTACTTGTGGAGTCTCCTCTTTGCCAAACACCTGTGTGCAAAATAATTTAGCTTCTTACAGCAAGAATGTTCATTCCCCTTCTTTTCCTTTGCATGACTTGCATCCTGTCCTTGGTCTGTGATATTTCTGCCCTTTTAGCCCGGAATATCTTTCAGCATAATGCAAGGCTTGGTCTGTCTTGCCATAATTATACTCTAGCTGCTGACTTACAACTTCTGCACTTCACACATCAAATGCTTTCCAGAGAATGTGTTTTGGCTCTCTCATTAGAGGTGTTCTCACTGCAGGATTTCATATTCCTACTACGAATCCTGTCTTTACTTAGATCATCTTTTAGTTGCTCAAAGTCACTTCTGAGTAATTTTCACGTAGAAAAATAAATGGACTCTGTTTCACCTTATGCCTTAATATCAAACACACACACAGTTAATAACTGATGTTCGCTTGGAGTTCAAAACATGCCTTTAAGACTTTCAAAATATCTGTTGTCCATATCTTTTATTCCTTGGAGATTAGAGTAGAATCACTGTGAAACAGCCCCTCCCCAACAGTCATAAAAATATTGCCACTCATAGCTCCTATTTTTACAGAATTCACTGTCATAATTTCGACATTGAGAGCATAAAAACTGTTAGTTCTGCTTCATCTAAACTTCAACCCTAGTGAAATCAATCCTAGTGACTTTAGGAAAGAAAATCATAACTTTGCATTTTAAAAAAATGTAGAGTTATCAATATTATAAAAAATTATTCTTTACTGTTTCACAAAGATCCCAGCAAAATGAAATTGATTTGAACCCAATCTACACCATATCAAATTCTTTTAAGAGCATCAATAACACTCTGGGGTATTAAGTGTACTTTTTACAATATAGTCCTAATTTGGACAAAAACCGCTCGGAATGACTCTGAATGAAATACAGCAGACAGGTTATTCAACTACAGGTTAACAGCACAGTCGAACACAAATTCAACTTCATCCCAGTCCTCCAGATCACAAATTAAATGCATGCAACAGAAAATTATTTTGTTGTTGCCCTCACCTAAATGTTTGTTTTGCATCTCTGCTTTAAAATGCAAATTCACAAGGCATTCCATTTGTTGAGAAGAGTTTTGTTCCTTATAAAGCTATGAAACCAATTGATAAAAAGCTCATTTGGGTTTTACATGCAAATTGTGTGCATTCTCAATAGATATCGTGAATATTAATCAACATAATGTATAGTAATCATACCTCCTACACAAATGAGTAATATTGCACATATTCACTTATCGTCATGGCCAGTGATATGGCATTATGTGGGGCTACAACGCAAGTCCCTCAATTTCTGCACTTACCGAATGTAGCCCAATGTGGGTTGGGAAGGAATAAAAAGTCTGTCTTTGTGGGTATCAGCATTTGCACAGCCATCTCTTCTGTTGTCCACCACTGGATTCTCCAGTTCCCTAAGAGTTACCCACAAATTACATTTTCAGAACTTTCTAACAAGTATGATATACAAGTACTCATACGACAGATAGGATTCTGTCACTCTATACAGTGCAAATCATTAGTTTGGAACAAACCATAAACTAACCAAGCACTTGTTATGACACCCCTCACCAGAAAGCTGCACAACTATTCGTTATAAATAAAATAGAGATGCAGGGCCAGGCAATGCATTGTACCTGCAGGATGTGGGGGCTGGTGGACCCATTGTGCTTCGGAGTGATCAGATCTGTAGCAAGTATTGATTGCTTGAGGAACTCTAGCCCAGAGTTGATGAGCTGGAGTCCAATCTTCAAACACTGCAGCATATCAGGCAGGGGGAAGAGTTATCTGGGCATTGGGTTTCAAAAAGCAGCCACACATCTTACAGTAACTACTTCGAATTCAGTTAGGGATCAGCCACAGGAGGGTGTGACAATGAGCAAAGCAGGTAGAGGAATCCAGGAGGTGGTGCTGAAGGAGCCTCAGCCCTTAAGCTTCTCTAACAGGTTTAAGATTCTTGCTCCGTGTGGATCGTGGTACAACAAACCATTTAAGAGTGGTATGGAGAAAGAAGAGAAATATAGCTGTAATCGGGAATAATATAATCAGGGGAACAGACATTTCTGTGTTCCTAGGATCAAGAGTCTGAAGGCTCTGTTGCCTGTGTTCAGGATGTCTCATCTGGGCTGCAGAGGAACTTGGAGTGGGAGAGGAAAGATCCAGTTGCCATGGTCCAAACTGGTACCAATGATACAGGCAGAAAGAGGAAAGAGATTCTGCTGAGAGAATATGAAAAACTAGGGGCTAAATTAAAAAGTGGGACCGAAAAGGTAATAATCTCTGTATTACCACCTGAGACACAACTAAATTCACATAGGATCGACAAGATTAAAGAGGTATACACATGGCTCACAGATTGGTGCAGGAGAAATGGGTTCAAATTCATGGGACATTGGCACCAGTACTGAGGAAGGAGGGAGCTGTTCTGATGGAACAGGGTCTATTCCAGTCATGCTGGAACTACAGTCCTGGTGAATCGCAAAGCTAGGGCTCTGGATAGGGCTTTAAATTAAAAAGGTCAGGAGGTGTCATTTGCATAGAAAATTATGAAAAAAGTTAAAGTGGGGAGCGCTCAGCAGAGGTTTCCAGAACAAGTAATAGGACACAGAGCATGGAAAGGCTCAGGAATCTAAATTCAGGCACAGTAAATAAGGGGACGACTACGAGAAGGGAGGCAGTCATTGCAGGACAGATTTATTTTTATTTATTCATGGGATGTGGGCATCATTGACTAGGCCAGCATTTACTGCCCCTCCCTAATTGCCCAGAGGGCAGTAAAGAGTCAACCACATTGCTGTGGGTCTGGAGTCACATGTAGGCCAGACCAGGTAAGGATGGCAGCTTCTTTCCCTAAAGGACATTTGGTGTTGTACTTGAATGCACACAGTGTACGAAACAAGACAAATAAAGCTTGTAGCGCAGATTGAAATTGGTGGGTACGATGTTGTGGGTATCACAAAGACATGGCTACAAGGGAATCAAGCTGGGAACTAAATGTATAACGATTTGCTTCCTATAAAAGGACAGGCAGATGGACAGAGCGGGCAGGGTTGCCTTGCTAGTAATAAATGAAACTAAATTGATAGCAAGAAGCAATATACGTGGGAAGGCATAGAGCTGAGGATCCGCAAAGCAAAAAAATGACCTTGATGGGAGTTATATTCAGGCTTCCTGGCAGCAGAGCCGTTGGAGTGCAGGTTCATTGTTCCTTGAAAGTGGAGTCACAGGTAGACAGGATAGTGAAGGCGGCGTTTTGGTGTGCTTGCCTTTATTGGTCAGTGCTTCGAGTATAGGAATTGGGAGGTCACGTTGCGGCTGTACAGGACATTGGTTCAGCCACTTTTGGAGTATTGTGTACAATTCTGGTCTCCCTCGGACATTGAGAAACTGGAAAGGGTTCAGAAAAGATTTACAAGGATGTTGCCAGGGTTGGAAGGTTTGAGCTATAGGGAGAGGCTGAATAGGCTGTGGCTATTTTCCCTAGAGACTTGGGGCTGAGGGGTGACTTAACAGAGGTTTATGAAACGAGAGGCATGGATAGGGTAAATAGACAAGGTCTTTTCGCCACAGTGCGGGAGTCCAAAACCTGAGGGCATAGGTTTAAGGTGAGAGGGGAAAGATATAAAAAGGACAAATAGGAGCAACCGTTTCACGCAGAGGGTGGTGTATGTATGGAATGAGCTGCCAGAGGAAGTGGTGGAGGCTGATATGATTACAAGATTTAAAAGGCATCTGGATGGGTCTATGAATAGGAAGCGTTTAGAGGGATATGGGCCAAATTCTGGCAAATGGAAGTACATATCTGGCCGGCATGCACAAGTTGAACCGAACAGGCTGTTTCCGTGCTGTGTATCTCTATGACTCGATGTGGGGAAGAAAATAAATCAGGAGATAGAAAGGCATGTAAGAAAGGCACTCATCAATCCTCGCTAGGGGCTTCAATATGCAGGTAGACTGAGAAAATCAAGTTGGCAGCAGATTGCAAGAAAATAAATTTAAGAAATGTCAACAAGATGGTTCTTTGGAGCAGCCTGTGGTAGAGCCTACTAGGGAACAGGCAATTCTGGATTTGGTGATGTGTAATGAGGCAGTTTGAGAGGGAAAAGCTGGAATCAAATGTAATGGTAATACAACTGAGTAAAGGTAACGACAACGGCATGTGTGAGGACCTGGCCAGAGTTGATTGGAAGGGGAGCCTCGCAGGGAAGATGCTGGAGCAGAAATGGCGGAGCAGAAATGGCAGGTGTTTCTGGGAATAGTTCAGGAGGCACTGCAGAAATTAATCCTAAGCAAAAAGAAATATATTTTATAGACTTATTAATTAAACTCCATAGCCACAGCAATGTGGGTGACTCTCAACTGCCCTCTCAAATGGCCTTGCAAGACAATCAGTTGGATGAATCAACACAAAGTCTCAAGAAAGATATGAAACTAAACGGACAACCTGGCATCGACCCAGGCATTGGAAAAGACAAAGACAGAAACAGCCATGTCAACCCTGCAAATTCCTCTTTACCAACATCTGGAAGCTAATGGAAAAACTGGGATAACAGTCTCACAGACTTGTCAAGCAACAGCCTGACACAGTCACACTCACGGAAACATACTCTACAATGTCCCAGACATCATCATCATCACGATCCATGGATACGTCCTGGCTCACCGGCAAGACAGACCCAGTAGAGGAGGCTGCCAACAGTGCTATACAGTAGGGGCAGACTGGACCCGGGAGTTCTCAACACTGACTCCAGATCCATAAAGTCTCATGGCTTCAAGCTAAACATGGGCAAGGAAACTTCCATGTACTGTCCTACCACAGCTGATAAATCTGTATTCCTCTATGTTGAACAACACTTGGAGGAAGCACTGAGGGTGGCAAGGTGCAAAATGTACTCTGGGTGGGGGATTTCAATTTCCACCATCAAGGCTTGGCAACAGCACTGCAGACTGAGCTGATCAGGTCCTAAAGGACATTGCTGCTAGACTGGGTCTGTGGCAGGTGATGAGGGAACCAAGAGGGAAAAACATACTTGACCTTATCCTTAACAATCTGCCAGATAAAGATGCATCTATCCATGACAGTATTGGTAAGAGTGACCACCTCACAGTCCACTTGGAGAAGAAGTCCCACCTTCCCATTGAGAATAACCTCCATCGTGTTACGTGGCACTATTACTGTGCTAAATGGGACAAACTTTGAACACTATTTGCAACTCAAGACTGGGCATCGATGAAGTGCTGTGACTATTAGCAGCAGAACTGTACTCCAGCACAATTTGCAGCCTCATGGCCTGCCATATTCTCTACTCCACCATTACCATCAAGCCAGGAGATCAACCCTGGTTCTATGGAAAGTGCAGGAAGGCATTCCAGGAGCAGCACAGAGAATAGCTAAAAACAAGACGTCAACCTGGTGAAGCTATCAAACCAAGACTACCTGCATCCCAGACAACATTATCAAGTGATAGATAGAGCTAAGCAACCCAAAAGCAATGGATCAGATCTATGCTCTGCACTCCTATCACATCCAATTGTGAATGGTACTGAACAATCAAACTCACTGGTGGGTGGAGGTTCCACAAATATCAATGATGCAAGAGTCCAGCACATCAGTGTAAATGATAAGGCGGAAGCATTCACAGCAATCCTCATCCAGAACTGCCAAATGGATAATCCATCTCAGCTCCTCCAGTGGTCCCAAGCATTACAAATACCAGTCGTCAGCCAATGTGATTCACTGCGTGTGATGTCAAGAAATGTTTGGAGGCACTGAATACTACAAACATCCTGACAGCATTCCGCCAATAGTACTGAAGGCTTATGCTCCAGAACTTGCTGCTCCCCTAGCCAAGCTGTTCCAATACAGTTGCAACACAAGCAGCTACTCAACAATGTGGAAAATTGCACAGGTTTATCCTGTACATGAAAAGCAGGGAAAATCCAACTGAGCAAATTACCATCCCATCCGTCTACTCACGATCTACAGTGAAGCGATGGAAGGTGGCATTAACAGTGTTATCAGCAGTATTTGCTCAGTAATAACCTACTAGTGATGTTCAGTTTTGTTTCTGCTGAGCTCCTGACCTCATTACAGTCTTGGCTCAATTATATACAAAAGAGCTGAATTCTAGAGGTGAGGTAAGTGATAGCCCTTAACATCAAGGCCGCATTCAATGGTGTGTGGCATCAAGGAGCCACAGCAAAACTGGAATCAATGGGTATCTCCGAGGAGTCATAGCTGGCACATAGAAAAATGGTTGTTGGAAGTGAGTCATGTCAGCCTCAAGACATCTCTGCAGGAGTTCCTCAGGATAGTGTACTTGACCAAACCATCTTCAGCTGCTTTATCCATGGCCTTCACTCCATCATAAAGGTCAGACGTGAGAATGTTCGCCAATGATGCACACTGTTCAGC